TATATATATATATAATTGATCAGAATCATTGATCACAACTCTGGGACATTCTTTGATTTTTGTCAAAGTTGTGAAAGGAAAAGTGGGAACACTTCTGGAAGTTTTTTAGACAGTGAAAACTGGGGAAAGTGGAGGCGATATTTAGAAAACAGGGGAAGCTTTTATCAAACTGAAAGAACTGTTTGAGAAGCACAGTTTCTCAACAGGTTTACCAGATTTGCCGCTGTTGAAGATGAGCCCGGACGCCTGATCACACACTCAGAAACACAAAGCTGACAATGTGAGATTTCAGTGTTTGGTTCATTTACGTTCACGCCGCTGAATTACAAGCTAACGTGGAGTTGTAAACAGAAGTCACGCGTGTGTGTTTGTGGTTGAGGTTGTCAAAACAAATCTGATGCCAACCTCTTCAACTTCAGTGAAGCATGATGGAGCGGTGCGAGCTTTAATCTGTAATTTACCATCTCTGGTGTTCGTGGCAGGTAAAACATATGAACAAACAGCTGAATGTGACTCCTAACAGCTGGGCAGTAAACGCTTCCACATGTGCTTGGTGCAAACAAGCCCTCAGATGAAGGCGAGAAAACGTGCTTATTTCAGTTCGAATAAATAACTCTCGGTGTTTTTCATTTATATTGAGAAAAATAAAGGACAGCTTGACATGTGTTTAACAGTGTTCGGTCTGGATTCTCTACAGAACCATCACAGTGGCTTGTTGGACCTGAAGGATGACGTGGATCGGGACGATTGTAAGCAGGAGCCCGAGGCTGTTTACGAAACCAACTGCCACTGGGAAGGCTGCACCAAAGAGTACGACACGCAGGACCAGCTGGTCCACGTAAGTGTGCGACTGCAAAAAAAACACCGTCTGCAAACTGATAAATATTCTGACATCTCAACACCTTTGCTAACCTAAAAGAAATGAAGCTGACAGAAAGATTTGTCCTGAAACCATAAAAATCAGGTCAATGAAAACCCTATCTGCCTCTTGAATAAATACCATATGATCAACGTAGCTTCTGAAAACTCAGATAAAGATATTAAATCTAGACTATTAGAGTTTGGTTTGGCTCAGTTGTGGTTAAAAATCAATCAGTTTAAATTCCAACAATGAGAATGTCAAATCTGAATGTTATTAGTCATTTGTTCTTGCATCATTCACACATCATGCACCAAGCACTCATTTAAAACAAAAGTAAAATATGAAGGTCCCAGAAAGTTGATTCTGTTCATCTGGACATAGCGTTTTCAGTGGGGGAAGATATAAAATATGATAGATAACTGCGACTCAAACTGTATTCTATATGAAACTCTGTTGTTGCTTAACAGGTTAAAATGACTCCTGTTTAGACTGGTGACCTTGGTTGGGTTCCTCTTGTGGCAGCCAAACTACGGTCTCCTTAAACCTGACCAAACAAAAATTAGAACCATAAAAATTATGATCGTCACATATTATATACAAACCTCAGTTTCCCTGTGAACATCCAACACATTGTTATGCCACAGCATGAACTACTGCCATTCTGGCAGATACTGCTGCTGACAAAGAGAGAAGTACTGCCCATGATTCAATAGCTTGTTGAACCACCTTCAGCAGCAATAACTTGAGGTAATGGTTTGCTGTATGACTTTATCGGTCTTTCACATCATCGTGGAGTCAATCTTCTTTGCAACATTACTTCAGTACATTGACTTTTGCCACTGAAACACCTTTATCATTGTCTTTTTCAGTCATTCTGTTGTATATTTGATGCTGTTCTTGGGATCATTGTATGCTTTACCCATCAAACAAAAGGCTCACATTTGACTCTGGAATACTTTGGTATACAGAAGAGTTCATAGTTGACTTGATGGCTGCAGGGTGTGCAGACTGCTGTGTTTAGTTTTGTGCATTACGACCAAACGTCTCCATTATGGTCTGACCTATCCAAAGGACATTGTTGCTGAACTCTTTTGTTTTGTTCAATGCAACATTATAAACCTAAGCTTGTTCAGTCTTTTTCTAAGTGAGCTGTCATGAGCTTTAACATTCAACATGCTAACTGAGGCCTGTAGAGTCTGAGATTTACCTCTGAGATGTATTGCACGTCTGATCTTGCTGGGATTCCCACTCCTGGATAGTAGTATTGTGTAGTATTGTGTTAATACACACCTGAATGCTGCACATCAGAAAACTGACAAAACCTCTGCTTTTGTAGAGGTGCTCTAGCTTGATGATGATCAGTTAATCGAGCTAATTTACTTTCTCACTTAATTTCAGTGGAAGCAGTGAGCTTGTGCTTAGTTTTTCACAGGACAGCAGAGAGTCTCCAGTTTTGCAGATGATAAATCATTTCAAATTTGGCCTGCTAAGTTACCAGATGGTTTGGATGGCTAGCTGACCTTTTCCACTCAAGAGATGGAATACTAGTGTTAGCTTTATGGCTGTAAAAAACAATCTGCATTAGCTGTGTTCTCCTACCTAGAGAAATAAGTTAACTAAATATAACAGCAACATTACTTCGATACAAATAAGAGTTGAACGTAGGTGCTGTAATGTCTCCTATTTGGTCCTGACATTATGAAGCTGCAAGTTTAACGCCGACCTTACTGGAAGACAACTCAGGATCAAATTTGATACTGAAAATGAGAAAATCTGCCCTGAAACAAGGGAAATAAAATCTTTTAATTCCTAAAAACTAAATGTTGACTTTCTGTTCCAAAGGTCAGGAATGAGCTCTTTGATCATCTACGTGAACATCTACCTGGACACTGAAAACAACCTCTGTGTTCATTCAGTTCTTGTGCATGCTTGTTTTGAGTTTTTCCTCTGGCTGACGAGCTGACCTCCAAACCATCATCGCTTTCATTTTTTCTCATCGCAGCACGCAGAGTCTTGGCTGAAAGGGTCTTAGGCATTCCTCAGTTGCAGTGAAGCAGAGAGAGAAAAGAGGCAGCAGAGTGAGGAGGATTAGTGAGGGTCCTGCAGGGCTGGGAGGCTGCTGTCCATCATTCATTAAACCCCGATTCTTCTGTCCATCTGAGGAAAGTCTCACATAAACCAGCTCTGTGACCGTTTACAGACTTTTAAAGCTGCTATGTGTGGCATTTTCAAACACCGGAGCTTCAGATTCAACATGATTCTGATGCTTTGATCGCAGCGCTGTAAACAAATGAGTCTGTGGTCGAGGTAATTGTCAGCTGTGCCCTTGTTTTTTACAAATCGAGACCACATTTCCTGTAAACTTCATTAGATCCTATCCTCTCCCTGGCAGAGCTCCACTCATTTGTTTTCTTTAGATTCAAGGGTAAACATGTGAGGAATCATTTTTCCATTGATCAGTAACATGATCAAAACCTGTGCTCACTGGCTGTATCTGCATACAAAGACACAGCACGGAGGTGGAAAGTGGATGGATACACTAGTCTTTACCACGAGATATCAGCAGGTGACTCATCCTAACACCACGAATATCAGTCCCGTGGCTTCTCAGAGGAATTTGGTTAAATCTGTACTTTATGTAATTGAAGGAAGTTTTTTGGGGGACTTGTCTGAAATAAATCATGTAAGCATATTTCCCAACATTGCTGGCAGCTTATTTAAAGGAATAATTCATCCCAAAATCCATTTTACATATTTTTCTTCTGATCTGTAGTGATGCTCGTCCGTCTAGATAGTTTAGGCGTGAGTTGTCCAGTTTTTGGGACATCAGCAATTTTGGCTTTTTGAAACCAAATGCTTGACTTTAATTTGGGATCATAGTTTACATCATCAAATCACCAACCTTCTGATTAGCAGATGACCCAACTTTAGTCAGAAATACAACAATCCTCAGACCAGTAAACACAGTGATATTCTTTAAAAAAAACCCTAAATTTGGACTTATTCATGTCCATCAAAGTGAGCAGTTGGAGACAGCCAGAACAGTCACAGGTTCACGATCCCTACTTTATGCTCTCTGTTATTAAAAATCCACAACTGTGTAGGGGCTACAGCATATGGGAACTATTTTCTTTCACTGTCTACATCCACTACACATAGGAAGATTGTGGCTCACCTAAAGGTGCACACGACATCCTTACACAAATATATGCACAATTCCTTCTGCGCAGTGACACATATAGCAAATGTTATTCGATAGAAAAAAATAGTTGATGCCTGTCGTGATTTCTGAAAAGAGACAGTCATCGGGTCTTCAAGATTTCGCTCTTTAACCCATGTTCATTTCCACTGTCGCAGACAGGCTACGTATTCCCAATTAGACTTTCATCTGCTGCAGCCTTCCTTTGAGATTTCCGCTGATAAGACGGATTTCCACAGAAACATTAAACCGGGAACAACGTGGGAGCCTCTTAGTGGACAGCTCTCCCCAGAAAACCCTCTCATTTCTCTGTGTGTGTGTGTCCCACAGCACATCAATAACGACCACATCCACGGAGAGAAGAAGGAGTTCGTGTGCCGCTGGGAGGACTGTTCGCGGGAGCAGAAGCCCTTTAAAGCTCAGTACATGCTGGTGGTTCACATGCGCCGACACACGGGGGAGAAACCACACAAGTGCACGGTGGGTAACGGATGGCCTCTGCGCCCTCTTCAGGCTCCCACAGGGCCCCTCATGCTCTCTAAACACCAGCAACTGCACATATGCACACATCTGGAAAACACACAGATTTCTTCAGACTTCCTCTTACTGAAGCATTCATCATTTTACTGTCAGATTAAAAGAATTTATACCCACACAACATCTGTAAACCCCTGGTTTTGACCCAAACCCCAGTTGATGGATTTATAACCTGTAACAGTATATTTAAGTTTTGTTCCAAAAAAATTGCTAAACTGCTGCTTTGCAACCAACTGGTCTCCAACTGGTTTTTCTGCCTGTGTGACTGAAGCTTTAATCATAATTATCAGTCTCACGATATGATTGAAAGTCTTTACTTGTATAAATAGAAGTGAATATCTACTTTTAAAGTGCCACACAAATATTAGGATGTCCACTATGAAGGCCTTGTGTTACCCTGTTGGTTATTTAACTGTTTATCCAGACAGTTATCTGTGTTTTGTCTTTATTTTTTTGCTGCCATTTGTTTGTTAGAGTCACTTAATTATTTCCTGTCTTCCTGTGCAGTTTGAGGGATGCTCTAAGGCCTACTCCCGCCTGGAGAATCTAAAAACCCACCTGCGCTCGCACACCGGCGAGAAGCCATACGTCTGCGAGCACGAAGGATGCAACAAAGCCTTTTCAAACGCCTCGGACCGGGCCAAGCACCAGAACCGGACGCACTCGAACGAGGTACAAAAGACTTCTCCGCTCACTGAAACTTCACACAGACTCTCTTATGGAGCTGCATAACAAATTCTCTCAGAGCGCTGCGATTGAAGTGGTGGAGATGTGAGGCTGCAGGTAGTGACAGCAGTTCACCTCCGCCTCAGGTGAGCTGAAGGCTTCATGTTGGGCAGCAGGTTTGTTCCTTTGTGTCGGTACGAAGTGGTGCCGGCACCCTTTGTGTCCCCCTGTGCAAGTCTTGCAGACATTTGTGAGTAAATAATGAGGTGGAGGCATAATGAGCTCCACGGCCCACAATGCATTAGGGCGAATCATGCTTGCCGCCCCTGCAGGAGCCAGACCACCTGCAGGAGCAGAAAATGAATCCTGGCAGTGTTTCAGAGCGCTCAGTGGGACTGCAGAGTGGGAATTCGGCATCGCTGCAACAGCCCACGGTCACACTGAGCTGCTCACATGCAGCTCAGATACAACTCAATAAAAACAGGTCCACAGCATTAGAGAGGGAGTTAAAACCTGCAGGTTGCCTCTGACTGCTGAGAAATCCCAAAGTCACTGATTGTTTCTGCTGATTTCCTCATTAAACGTTCAGTGCTAACAGCTGTTGACAGCAGATCTGCACAGCCTGCTGGAGTCACAGTTCACTATGTACCCTCACAGTGAATATGCAGGCTCTAATGACCGTATATATAAAGATGGATGTGGCCACCATAACATTTGGGAACTGCAGTTTTCGGTAGTTTTCAGTCTTTTATTTCGGCATTGAATTATTTTTTCTCTGCACCTACAGAAACCTTACGTATGTAAGATCCCCGGGTGCACCAAGCGCTACACCGATCCCAGCTCTCTCAGGAAGCACGTGAAGACAGTGCACGGCCCTGAGGCCCACGTCACCAAGAAGCAGCGCAGCGACCTGCCACCCAGACCACTGCCACCCCGGGAGAACAGCGAGAATGAGACGGGTCCAAGAGAGCGAACCCACAGGGAAGACAAAATATTGGATAACAGCTCCCCCAGAGGTGTGGAGGACTACCTGCAGGTCAAATCCATCAAGACAGAAAACTCTATGGTAAGACCGCTCAAATCTGCACACACACACACAGGGGCACAAAGTTAGACGAGTTATGTACTGCATGCTGACTTTACTACACAGCTTTTGATTCTAACAACTCTAGTATAAACCTCTTTTGTTTAATGAAGTATTTCTCTTATTTCTCTTCTTTTAGTCCAGCATGCCTTTTTGTTCTAACCTTTCTTCAGCTTCCTGCCTCATTGTTTTCATTTCTCTCTCCTTTCTGACTTTCCTTATGGACAGACCTTACTGAGGTGAGCTCATCTGTGGCTTATAACTATTGTACATTATTTAAAGTCATTTTTATTTACCATCTTTCAACTTCCTTCCTTTCCATTACACTGATTCACTTCCAAAATTACATTATGACCAAAGAACAGCAGCTTCAAAGTCCCAAACACCTCCAGATTTATTCTCCCCACTCTTGTTGTAAAGCCATCTTGAGTTATGCCTCATTACCCTCTCCCATTCCTTTCCTCATTTTCATTCCAAGGTGCCAGATTTTCTTGTAATGTTTTAAAGTGGCCATGAGCAATATTAGTTCAGGCTCTTTGAAGGTCTTTCAAATTTTTTTTAAACACTGGCTACTTTTTCATTAATTTTAATTCCATTCCTTGTACCTGTCCATTTCCAGAGGATTGTTAACTCTCAACAGAAGAAACAGTGTTGTGTCTACACCAGGGTTGTCCTTGATCCAACACAGCTGATTTAAATGGCTAAATGACGTCAACATGTCTTGAAGTTCTCCAGAGGGCTGGTAATGAACTAATTATTTGATTCAGGTGTGCTGACACCCTGTGTCAGCACACCTGAATCAAACAAGTTAACAAAGAACACATTTTGAATTGCATCTTTTGCCACTTTATTACGAGCTGCCTGTCACATAAACACATAATTTATGTGCCAAAGACAGACCAAAACAAAATAGAATTTTTGCACCAAGGTGATTCCCAAAGAGCTATTAGCTGAAAACTTGTCATAACTCATCATGGTGTGCAGTGTGTCCTTGAAAATATTAAGATGTATCTGGCCCTTCACTGAAGCCTCATCAGAAATGGTCTCAGTGGAAGTTTGGCTGATAAGAAGCCATTTTTAATGAAGGGGACCAAGGAGAAAAGACTGAGGCTGGATTATACAAGATCTGGACTGAAAATCAGCAGCAGCTCTGATAGAGTGATGAATCCAAATAAAAAAATCTGTGGTGAAAATCATTATCAGTATGTACAGATGTGGTCAGGTACAACAGTGAGTGTCTACAGACATCTGTAAAACACGGTGGAGGCTCTGTCATGGTTTTGGGCTGCATATAACTCAGTGGTGTTGGAGATCTTGTCAAAATTGATGAGATATGAACAGAGAAAAGTCCCATCAAACTGTGATCCACCATGCAATATTTTTTGAAAAGCATCTGATTGATATAAGCACCTTTTTCAGCATGATGATCCCAAACACACTACCAGTGCAGTAAAAGAAACCCACGGTGCAGCACTATCAGTCATTAATGAAATGACAAGAAACCTTTCCAGCTCATTTGAATTGCCGTATGCTTTATTTCCATTTACGAGTCCAGTTGTTCCCCTTTTCCTAGCTAAGTCTAAAGAAATGATGTGAGGCTCAAGACTTTTGCACAGTACTGTATAATCAAAAAATGGTCACATTTCATAAACCGTTGATTTATGCAAGTGTGTAACAGACTTGTGTGTAATCACGTTGAGTCAGGTTCAGAAGTTTTGTTTTTAGCAACTGCAGTATAATCTAAACAACTTGAAATACTGCTAGAAATACTTTAAGTCTCATGCTTTTCTTTTTAATGCTGGTATTCCAGCAAGACAAACAGAGCATTTTATTGATAAAACTGCAGTTTTTTTCACTGTAATTTGCTTGATGAGACTGTAACTTGCCATATATTTGCCACCATTTCCATAGGCTTTAAATACAAAATGGATGAAGCCACTACCCAAAAAATAAACTCTGTAATTTCACTCATCAAAACAGCCAAATTTGTCAGATAATGGCAACTAAAACATGCCAAAAGGCACACAAAACACAAACATGGTGGAAAGGTCAATTTCATTGACTCCAAAGCACTGGGCTTAACCTCTGGCATGGGGGCTGGTCCTTGATTAACGTCTGAGAAGCCCTGCCCTATTTCAGTAACAGCTGTTTAAAGTACCAAAAGTCAAGAAGGACTATAATCCTTTTCAGGGTAGAATATTAAAAACAACTCTACATTGCCTAATCTCTTATTGAAGTAGCTTTTCTTGGGGTTTTTTTTTTTTTTTAATGGGGTTTGTTTAATTTGTATAATTAAATTGAAATTAATTGCATCCAGTTAGTTTCTGAGATTTTAGTCATCTGAAACAAGCAGGGAGTTATTTATGCATGACGTTGTTATCTCGAAATGGTACTACGGTGTACATTTTTCCATTACACAGGATTACATTCACAGCAGAGACCTATCAAACACCCATCACAGACCATGATAAAAGTCACTCCTGGATGAATATTCAAACACTGGGAATTGGTTGTGCAAACTGAGCCAACCAGCAAGCTGTGATCAAGACAGCTTTTTTAGCAGCGAATATATTAGAGACTGCAAGGAAACAGGCCAGGCAGTGGATATACACCGTCTAATCATTGCTGTCCTTAGTCCGACTGGAGAGGTTTGTCATCATGTTAAACCCTCTGTTAACTCGAATTTGATGTAAACAAAACTAACATTGAAAGATATAGTTGTGAAGGTAAGAGAACAACAAGCTTCACCTAAATGCTTGAGCAGCCTCCACCCTGACAGTTGATTTTTTGGAGAGGGAAATGTGATCACATGTTGTGATGATTGGCCCGGCGCTCTGGCTCAGGCTCAAGCAGCCTTTCATCCTGCCCATTTCTAATTCACAGACAGACTAAGACAGTCTGTAATCTGTGGTGCGCCCCCACCTCTTCACCCCCATCCCCAAAAAACACACTCATTATTTACAATTAAGCTGGGGGAGGATAAAAGACTCAGTGATTCACTGTTTTTCATGCCATGTTAACCACTGTCCCATTTTTGTTCTACTACAGAAAAGCTGTTTTTAGGACAAACTATTGTGTCTCTTTCTGTTTTGCTCATGTTCTTTTTTTAAAATCTCATTTTCTGCATTCCTTCTCTTTCTCTTCCTTCTTCACAGATGTATCAGTCCAGCCCTGGCGGTCAGTCATCATGTAGCAGCGAACCATCACCACTTGGCAGTGCCACCAACAATGACAGTGGAGTAGAGATGGCGGCGCACAGCGGGGGGAGCCTAGGGGACCTCAGCACCCTGGATGACCTGCCGTTTGTGGAGTCCTTGGGCTTTGAAGATTCCACCAGTGGGGTCGCAGCGGTGGGTCTTCGCTTTAGAAAGCAATTCAGCACCAGCCAGCGCCTGGAGCATCTCAAGAAGGAGAAACTGAAGACAGTGAGGGACTCCTGCCAGTGGACCAACAACCCAACACCACCTGTGGTCCTCGGGACGAAGCTCCCACCCATACTGGCAGGCAGTGAGTTGATAGAAAGTCTAGATTAAAGCTGCTTTGACAGTTATTCACTTCACTTCAACCTTTCACTAAAAATATAGAAACTTTTCTATAGTTAACACTTTTCTTAGGTGATTTGGTTTCCAATCCAAGAACTAATTAGTAAGCAGGTGGACACTTTACTTTAACGTTTCCCACACATGAATAGACTTGGACAGGACTTTACTTGGACAATCCTCCTATAACCGTGCAGAAGAACTGAGTGTGAAGGTTGAAACTGTCAGTTTACTAGATCCATCTTTGTTCCATCCTCATCCATGGCCATAAGCTGTAGGTAGAAACAATAGGATCATGGATACGTGCCGAGCTTCCTTAGCACTTTGTCTGAGACCAGCTTTGGAGGTGATGAGCTCAGTCATTTAGGAGAAGATTAATAAAATGAACATGATTACATGGAGTCCTTCCCTGGTACCCAAAGTATCTGACTGGACACCTGAGAGAGATGTTTCAAGTATGTCCAACCAAGGCAGACCCAGGGATCCTTCACATTATTCAGGTGCTTTTCCAGTTCTGAGTGGTAGTCCTTCTACTCTGGAGGATGGAGGTTTATGCTGCTGTGCTGAACTCACTGAAGCTGCAGAGCACAACAAAGGACTTTCATCAAGACCATGGACTAGAATGAGAAACTGCCCAGTGAGCTATCTGAATATTGATCTGTTTTTTATTGCAGAAAAAGTATATGTGGTATTACTTGTGGCATTAATTGAAGTAGAAAGAGCAGGTGCACCTTCTTTCATATGAACACATACACCCACTGCCCCCTCAGATAGAATCTAATTCAATGAAAGGCACTACATTTGGTCCACCAGCAAGTTTCTAGTATTTTATGTTTGTTCGATTGAGTTTAAAAATACCTGAAAAAAAGCTCCACAAGCTTGACAAAGTAGCTCTAGATCTAGAGTTTCTCATTCTCGTCTGTTTGTTCACAGGTTCCCTCCTGGAGAGCCAAAATATGGGTGGGGGTCCGGCGTCCTTCCCTGGTTCTAGCTTTGGTGAACTGAGCTCTAGTAAAATGACTGTGCTAGAAAACCTTTCCGAGAGACGTGATAGCACTTCCAGCACCTTGAGCTCAGTCTACACCCTCAGTCGCCGCTCCTCAGGCATCTCCCCTTGTTTCTCCAGTCGGCGCTCCAGCCAGGCCTCACAATTTGGTGCCAACCGCCCCAGCAACATCAGCTCTGCGGACTCCTATGACCCCATCTCTGCCGACATCTCACGGCGTTCAAGTCAGGCCAGTCAGTGTGGTGGGAGTGGCGGAGGAGCAGGAGTGTTTGGAGCAGTGGGTCTTCCCAGCCCTCTGAGCCTGACCCCAGCCCAACACTACCGTCTCAAGGCAAAATATGCAGCTGCCACTGGGGGCGTACCACCTACACCTCTACCATATATGGACCAAATGTGTCTGCAATCCCATGCAGCCCTGTATGAGGACTCCCAGAAACCCTCCACCAACAAAGGCCTACCTTTCAGACAGTACAGCAGCTATGCCACAAGAAGTTTGATGCCCCACGAAGTCCCATCTAACATCCCCCGTCGAGCCAGTGACCCTGTGAGACAGGTTGCCCCAGAAACTTTAAACCAGTCGCAGTTGCACCGCTACAACAGCATGGGCACGCTGAGTGGAAGGGTGACAATCCAGCCTTGTCCACCTCCTGCAGCAGATCACCGACGTTTATCTCAGCAAGACTGTCATCGATCAGATGGAGGTCTTCACCGTTACCCTTATAGTCTGCGACCACCAAGCATTTCAGAGAATGCTACCATGGAGACAACAAGTCACATCCCTGATAATGGAGACAAGACAAATGAAGATTTCCAAGGAGCCTCGGCTATCCAGCAGCAGCACTTCAGTCAGAGAAGGATGGCTATTGTGAATCTGCTCTCACAGATTTTACCCACTTCGAGGAATAGTCCAGGTCAACAGCAACGGATGTGTCCACCTTCGCCATCCAATGTTCCAGCAAGTTCAGGACTCATGGATGCCTCCCAGGAGTACTCCAGACTACAGGTTCGAGGGAACCTGGCTGTGCTCCAGCAAAACCACAATTTTGGATCTCTTAGCAACCATTTCAGCTCCAACCAGCAGTTGAATCAGAACCTCACAATGCAGCAGAGGTACATTCAGCTGAACTCCGAGCCAGGAGCAAACTGCCTCCAGCAACAAGGATTCCAGCAGCCATCGAATCTCAATGAAGCCCTGTTAAATGAAGTCATCCAGCCCTATGACAGGAATGGTAACACCACCTATAAGCCTTGCATTAACACCATTAGTGGGAGCAACTGCAAACAGGAGTCATGTGACATGGAGACCTTTGACTTGCACTTTGCTGATGCTGGATTTCAGCCTGTGCAGATAAAAATTGAACACACTGACACATCAATATGTAACATGAACTCCCCAAATCCCTCACAAGTTGGAAATCAGAACAATTTTCAGCCAAGGCCACCAACCGAACCAAGATCTCTGAACAAGAACCCTTCAGTTCCAAAAGTTACGCAGCAAATGATGCAAGCTGCTAATGCTAACTCCGAATTATCCACTGCTGGAGTTTTAGGACTTCACCGCAGCAATAATGCTAATGACAATGCCTTGTACTACACAGGGCAGATTCAAGTATATGAGCCTAATGGTAATGTAAACTGTAACAAGGTGGTGCCTCCCACTTCAAGCGCCAATCAGACGGCAAGAACCAGTGACTGTACCACAGCACTGGAGCAGGCACAAATAGACTTTGATAGCATGCTGGATGATGGGGATCACTCCAGCCTCATGTCGGGAACGCTAAGTCCAGGTCTGCTCCAGAGTTTGTCCCAGAGCTCCTCTCGCCTCACGACGCCCAGGAACTCGGTCACGTTGCCTTCGGTGCCTGCGGGGACAGGGAACATGGCCATCGGGGACATGAGCTCACTGCTGACTGCTCTAGCAGAGGAGAGCAAGTTCCTCAACTTGATGTCTTAGCCTCAAACTGTGTGCAGACATTTTGAACCCCTGATGCAGAATAACCCTTCAACCCTGCAGTTGGAATTGATGTGATTGTGAGCTGAAAGCTTCTGTAGCCTGCCTGTTGTTTCCTTGTACAGTCTTGTTTATGAATTATTTAAAATGGCAGTTTTTTTAGTCTTTTCAAAAAGCCATATCATTCTTTTTTTTTTTTTTTTTGCCTTAGGTAGCAAAAATGATGAACAAGGGAGTTTATTCAGTTGTTGTACAGGTCTGCAGTAAGATCAGTTTACTAAGTGCCTGCCTCAGATACAACAAACACATGTTGTGCGTATAGTTATATTCAAAAAACGTGCAAATTCAACCAGGTAATTATCTGTGTACTCAATTAAAACCTTTCACACTGTAAATTACTTGAGTTCAACTTTAATATTTGTCAAGGAGAAAACAGTTCACTATTCTTTTTTTCCATCTATCATCAAGTTTACAGCCACTTCCCTTGGTGAGCTGTGATTTGATTGCTGCATTGCTGCTGAGATTAACTGTGGCATCTCAGATTTGGGCATCAGAGACTTGATTTGTGACTGGAATTATTGATAACTTGGCCGTGCTCTCACAGAGAGAAGAGGAGAAGATTTCAGAGCAGAGACTCAAGCTTTCTTCTTTTTTACACTGTTGAAAACAGTTTGTTGTGCTCGTTATATGTAAATATCCTTTGTATATTTCTAAGAAATACAGTATTGACTTTGATTTTTTTAAATGCATGTGTTTTGTGTTGTCCTTCCAGCCCAGATTATCCACATTTTTTCAGTATCTAAAAAAAAACTATTTGGCTGTAGTTTAGGAAACACCATGCAATGCCATGCAAAGAGCAATATTAATGTTTAAAATGCACCTACTAAGCCAATTTCAAGCATTTTTTTTTCCTGGGCCCAACAGAAGACTTTGAAAGCAGGCCAATTGAGCTTGTATGTCTATAATTGCCTGGGTTACTGACATCCACTCTCTCTAACATCATAAAGATCTAAGAGTAGAAAAATAATGTATGAAACAGAGCGTTTGGAGCTATCTGAAGCCTCAGCCTTTGGCTGACTGGGATTACTTTAGCCATGATTAATTTAAGCATCCAATATTCCAACAAAATATAAATGACAGTCCTAAAAATGTAGTTTTAATGTGTATTGTAGGGCTTAAGGACCATTTTTGTAACAATTAAAGAAACCAACTGAGCCCAACCAGGTCTTTATGATGTTTGCAGAGCTATACAATGTCAAACTTTTATTTTCATAAATGTGATTGTCACAAGCCATTCCAACAAGATATTTAGTTTATTAGTAAATATATAGATATATAGATATAAATCCAAGATATCTCTAGAAAATACCAAAGGTTTGTATCCAGCTCAGTTTGTATTTAGCTCAAAGTGTGCCTGATTTAAGCTGTTTTCACACATGATGGTGTGGGGAGAAGTTACATGTAGCACAAAATAATCAACTTCCGACCTATTCTCACTGCTGAAAGAACTCTGGTTTGGTCAAGGTAGCGATCATGACAGCATGCAAGGTGCAGCACACATTATCAGTACCACTGAGCGAACTGGCTTCTTACCTACGCATTGATCACATTCTCAAACAAGACTGGCTGATGTAAACTGTGACTCCTTTGGACATTTGCATTTTCACAATCTCTAATCCCTAGAGATGTTCAGGGCTGGAGTGTTTAAGATGTTTTAAAATGGTTCTGCTTTAATGTAAGCGTTTGCTTTTGTTTTTTGCAGGATGGTCTCTAAAGTTGGTTTGTACCACAGTCCTGAACTTTGCAAGGCATTACAATTATTTGGCAGGGGTGGGCAACTCATTTCTTCAAGGGGTCACATGAGAAACTGGGGTTGTTTTGAAGGGGCTCTACTGGTGGACCTATTAGTCCCCCTAAACAGTCCCAGTTTTTCATGTGGCTCCTTGGGAAAATGAATTGCCCACCCATGAAGTCCAACAAAATAGGACTAGACAGTCTTTAACCTTTTCACGTTCACATAATTAAGACCATATAATGTCCCACACACCCACGTGAGATAAAGCAAGTCTAGAGCATTAGCACCAAGCAAGTGGCCATCATAAGTTATTTTTTACAACTCACTGGTTTAAATGTTATTAAGGCTTAAAAGTATTATTTACTCACAAATGGTTGGTGACACAGGTGGCCAGGCTTCACCTTAACTAATTGGAGTCCCTGAACTGGACTTCTGGACCTTGTTTGTGCTGTTGGAACATTTCAATAGAATTATCTGACCAATAATATACCTCCTGTGCAGTTAACTGTACTTACAGACCATCTAAGAAGTCTGTGCTCTACTTTTTGTAAATACATTTCTAGGATTTTATTTGAATATTACTTAATTACCAGTTATCTGTGTCTATGTGATGCATATATACAGTTTGTCAATACATTCTGCTAACCAAGCCAGCTAATAATTTAACAGCCACTCATCCATATACAGTCACTTCTAGGACCCTCAAACCAACATGACTCTAGCCTAAAACCAACATAGTGATGTCCACAGTGACTTTTATGCACAGATTATGATCTGGACCTGATTCTCTCAAAATCTTATGTGGTTTGTAATTTATGAACATGGTTAAAGTATGTTAGGAAGATTCTTTGTAGTCAGGTGTTTTGGTATTCCTTCGCACTAATTCTAAAGTGTTGAGATCTACTAGAGGGATGATCCCTGTTCCTCCAACCCTTATACTATACCCTCCTTTAGTGCTTTAACAATAATGCTGGAAGGTCCAGCATCTACCATGTGGGGTGGGGCTCGGGAGGTAGAGCAGGTCATCTACTAATCAGAAGATTGGTAGTCGTTCTTTGGGTGCTCCAGTCTTCAGTTTTAAGTATCTAAGGGCAACATACTGAATCCAAAATTGCTTTTCAATGAGTTCATTGGAGTGTTAAATGTTAGATAGAAAACACTTAGGAGGAGAAAAAAGTGTTTGTACGATAAAGTGTGAATGGGTGAATAAGGCATGTTGTATGAACAAGTGCGTGCTCAAGTAGAGTTGAAAAGTGCTATAAAAGAAACAGTCCATTTACTTTTCACCATAGCTGTTCAGTCAAGTTGAGATCTGGTAAGCATGAAGGCCACAGTACTGTAGTCACATAGATGGATGGTACTGTCATTCCAAATCCCAAAATATGGCAGACAAATGTAGGGTCAAAGGTTCAGGTTCAGGGTTTTACTTGAATCGATCACCTGTCAAGCTGAAGCAGCAAGAGGACGGCTATCAATTTCATTCCACCCTTTTGCTAACAACTGCTCTGGTAATGAGCCCAGTCCAAAAACATAAAGCCTACTCTCATGTAAATCAAATAAAGCGTCAACTCAGTCTGTTTTCCAGCAGGTTCTGTCGTCTCCTGGTTCTCGCTGTGGCTGAGTAAATATTATTATTCATCAGTCCGCCCCTTGATCATTTCCTGCAGGAGGAGGAGGAGGAGTGTTGATCGCTTCAATAATTCAACAACAAAACTTTCGTCTTTGAAGCCATGTTCCCACACCCCGTGCCGACAACGCACTTTCTTCACTCCTTCCTTGTTGAATGTCAGGCTGAGGCGCCAACACATTCTTAAGACGACCTCTTTCAGGGCGGCTTTGAAATAACTTCCCCTGACCTCGTCTTGCCTTGCCGGCGAGAACAGGCTTGACATAATGTAAATCCTCACTGGTAAGCTGATGAAAAAGGACGCTAACAGGAGGCGAAAGGGCTCGATGAGTGCAGAGCGGCGGCTGCTGCTGCAGTTAGCCTGTGTGTATTCCAATATTGGCTCTGACAGAGCGGCCCAGAGGACTCGGCTGCTGAAACCACATAAAACAAACCAGCTGAGAGGAGCGAGCGATGCCGGGGACGCAGCGCTGAGCTGAGAGGAACAAATGATTTTAGTCTGTCAAGGAATTCAGCCGAGGATACGTTTGATCTGGAGCTTGTGATTGCTTCTGCCACTGGAATTCCTTCTCCTCTCAGAGATGTGAAGTGAGAAAGAAAATAGCCCCGGGCTGTGAAATACAACCAGGGCCCGAACAAGAGGTGGAGATAAGACTCGCAAAGATGGTGCATTAACAGCACCTTCATTTATTGATGGCGATAACTGAGTGAGGAAGATGAAAGACGGGTTTCAGCACTCATGAAGTATGACTGTACTGTAACTTTGTTAGGGAAAAAACAATGACTGGGGATGTTTTGCAGCAGAGAACCTGCCCTAACCTGGCGTTAAATTCTTATTTGGTTTTTAATTTAAGCCTTAATGAGTTATTTAAGATTTGCATACAACTCGTTCTAATTAATCTGTTTCCAAGTTCTTTGTTTTCTAAGCTGCATAATCTGATCACTTTTGCAAGTTGACAGCCACATTTTAACTTTGTTAAAGTCGTTATCTTTGCAATCTAATACATACAGCTGTGGTCAGAGGTTTACATCCATTTATCATGGGCATAAGGGTCACAGCAATTTTTGGCTTTTAATGCTTTTTTTGAATTCTTTTACAGGAGTGTAATGATCGTACAGCAAACATCTTTAATGTCTTTAATAAACAGTACCTGGGTTTGAATTTATTTTGAATTTTCTCTGATCTTTTTGGGTCAAAAGGCTCTACAATATATTTTAACCTGACAATGCTAAAGCCTATTAACTTCTCATTAGTCATTATGATTGACCACACTTGCTAGTTTCTCTTGCAGCATAAGAAGGATTTGTTTGACGGCACTCACTGGACTGATCAATACTTAGAACAATGAGAGAGTCCAAGAAAGTCAATGAAGATCTAATATAGATCCAGTGTAGATTTACACAAGCTGGGAAGATTGGGAAGCCGTTTCTAAACAACTGCAGATTCCAAGATCATGAGTTCAAAACAACTGTACTTAAATACAAGTTATTGTGATGCGTCATCGCTTTGCCAAGCTCTGCAAGAAGACCCAAACAGACACCCTGAGATGAGAGGAAATTGGTTAATATGTTCAGGAACAACCCAGGAAACACCAAGACTCAAGGCTGCCATTAACTGGAAAGTGCTGGAACACCAGCATCACTGGGCTGTACAATCATCCCAGTCTGGAAAAAGAACAGTTTGAAGAAATCATTAAAAGCCCCAAATTACCATGACAATCGTATATCTAAATTTCTGTTCACAACCGTTGGTGTCTTGGACATAAAGTTATGATTTCATTGACTTGTCACATTCTGTTGGTAAAGTTTAGTCAGCTGTTGGAAGGCTTTAAGCTCTTTCTGAATAAAAGGAGAAAAGTACA